CAAGGTCATGTCTCCCTCGATCACGTCAGGGGGAGCATAGGGGATGAGATCCTTCCTGGGCAGCAGGAGAGGGCGCTCCAGGTTGTTAACATCTTCGAGACTGCAATCCACGGAGGCCTCGACGAACCACACGCCATCGCCGGTGCAATCCACCTCGGCCTCACCGGGGATCGGCTCCACGATCCGCCCGGCGACGGGGTAGTAAGGGACGAGAACACGGGACAGCGCCGCCCTGATGGCCTTCGCCGGCTGCACGCCTTGCTCGAACACGAGTATCAGGTCGATGATCAATCTGACCGTCACGTTGCGGTCCATGAAGGAGAGCGGGAGGCGGCCGGACGGCGTAGGCTCGGCGGGGGCCACGAGCTCCGGGGCGAGCTTGTTCACGGAAAAGCTCATGGTTGCTACGGCTGCTTCAGAGTGTCTCAACTTGGGATGCTCTGCCGTGAGGCGATGGTGGTGACTATATATAGTGAGAGAAAGGAAGGGTGGCATTCACATGTTGGGTGGCATCGACAAGCATGTGATTAACAGATTTGGAAGGAAGGATAGAGATGAAGCAGTGATGATCATTCAAGCATGCCTGCGGGGCGGCATTTCTCTTTGCAGACTAACGTGGAGCAGCAGGCAGCAGTGTTTTCTTTTTTTATATATAATCATATAATGTTTTGAGCATCTCAATAAAAAAATATTTTACTATTATTAAAACAAAATAACCTATTATAATATTTTGATTATCATAATAAAAATAATATAAAATATATTATAAAAATATATATAAACTTATAACCTCTATCAAACTAATCACAAGCCTAAACATATAGTATTATAAGAGACAATATATTACGATATTTTTCAAGAACTTTATATTATTTTTAATATCTAAAAAATCATAATATTATTAAAATATATTGTAAATAGGAAAAATTGGTGCACCCTATGGACCAGTCCATCGGGTCTCTCCAAAGTTGATAGGAAAAATCTATTAGGATTGATGATTGGTATTTTCAGTATTATATAGAACACCGTTTGAAAATAAAAACAAAAAAAGCCATAAATTATTTAGAAATTTGAATTACTCTTGTCTTTCTCATGGATGTAGCAATTCAACTTGAAAGAGAAGCAGTAGATGAACCACAAGACTCGAGGGTGTCAAAGCCATACTATATTTCTTATTGGTGATGACCAGTAGGTGTCACCATGAGATGATGGGTTATAATATTTTTAATATTAAACTTAGTCTTTGGATTGCGGTAAGATTTATGGAAGAATCTGTGTTCGAGACATAGTCCGGCAAAATCCTGCTTTTACCCAACGTGAGAACACTGAAGGTTCACATCAGCACTGTGGTAATCCGTCATGTGGCCGTGCAAGTCGACCACCACCGGTCCTCTCATTCACATGTTGAGTGGCATCGACAGGCATGTGCAGTGACCACATTCAAGCATGCCTGCAGGGCGACACTGTTCTTTGGAGACCACTGTGGAGCAGGAGAAAGTTTCTTCTTCTTTCCTCAAGAAGGTGGCACACAAAGCTGAGATGAAACCTTTTCTTCCCATCTATGGGTTTGAAGGTACGTAATAACATGATTTCTTTCTCCTCCTTTGCATTTCGCTGGCTGCAGTCGATCTCGCTCTACATGAGTTTGATGAGTGCCTTCTTATATGTCAACTTTGCCTTCTTCTTCTCTTCTGTTAGCTCAAAGTAAGAAGTATTTTATGGCTCGTGTCGCATTCAATAGCATCTCACGTTCCATCTTCAAAAATAATTGAACTACTGGTCATCAAACCCTAAACCCTAAAATAATTGCATCTCCAAAAGTAATTGAACAACTGGTCATCAAAAAAAAGTTGCAAAGTTGGAAACTCGGTTTGAGGTCTTTGTCACTTCGCATCCTCACCCCCCATCTACCAGTTCTAATTATAGTATATTCGATCATCCACAGTCATTCCAATACTCGTGGAAAAGAATCAGTAGGTCTTTCTCTAGCAATCTGTCTCGTGATCTAAGCGTAAAAAGAGCCACCATCATGTTTGTCTTAGGTTAAAGACTCATGAGCTCGACCTTAAACGTTTATGATAATTGAGGTCCAAAAAGTATATAAATTAAACCTTGTATTACTTGGAATATAGGCTCCCATTTGAAGTGGATAAAGATATATATATTGAGTTACTTAACTTGAGCTCAGACAATTTTTGTCTAATTGTGCTAATGAATTAATTATCTCATCGGATCAAGTTATGACACAAACGGTTCGATTTTGCTTTTCAATAGCGGACTGTATTTTATTTATACATAGAATTTTCGTTAATTTCACTCAAATCCAAAATTAATGTACTTTACATGATTTCATTCTTTTCTTCTTATATTCAGAATTTATTCAAGCATACCTAAATCCATTTTAGATGGAAATGATACATACGAGTACCTTAAAAAAAATTTAGCTTGTTATCATTATCCTAATTGAACATAACTATCTAGATTTTAGACTCAAAGTTAAACCCAACCCGAATATCTATAGTAATGCAAGAATTTATTTTATTCTATCAATGAATTGTCAAAGAATATCTAACTCAAATTTTAAATGAATTGAATAGAGGTAATATGAGCAACAATGTTGGCACTTAGGTGACACAAAATATTCTATCATCCGTATCAAAATATTATATGTACACTATATATTTATAAAATTCTTTATACTATGTATTATGATTCAAGAGCTTGCGAGATGAAATCTACTGATCAAAGAGAAGTAGGAAGACTAAAGTTACTATGATCATTAACATCGCGTGCTAGATCCGTTCTCCCGACCTATAGTTCACCTACGAGAACCCCATCTGATTTCTACCCGATTCGACCAACATCTCATATGTACTAATAATCATAACCTCAAGTTCCGTTTCGAATCACCTATTCTGATTCATAAAAAGTTAAAAAAAATAAATTACTGAGATTCAATTCGACTTTAAATTTCAAATACTAATCACTGCACCATGTAACAAATTTGTGTTATATATTTTCTTAGCCGATTTGAAATCGAACCAAACCATTGGTTCTGAGTTCAATTTTCAGGAAATGGAACCTAATTTCTCAATTTCGATTCGAGCCAGTATCCGAACTATTTGGTAGGGGTCCTCCTCTGATGAACTTGACAAGCAACAATCTCTATAGCAGCTTGTATCGTATCCATGGACGAGGAACCAACGATGACCTCAGTGTTCTCCTTGATTCCCATGGCGTACATTCAGTTGCATGATAATGATTTTCTAAAGGTTTTTTTGATATCACGCTTTTATCCAAATTCGATAAAAAGAATTATTGTAGATGGAAGATTATTGTGAAAGCTATTCTTGAATCAGACGACTTCAAAGAAATGGGTCGTGTGCATATATGCCATATTGTTGGAGCATATGGGCGGTGGAGTGGAGCGCAAGTGATGAATGAGGGTGTGCAGACTTGCAAATCTTGCTTCATGTCTTAATCTTTAGTGAAGTTGGTGTCCTTTTGCTCGAGGGAATAAGGATCGTATGGATAGAGTCCCATTTATTAGCATCACATGAAGAACAACATGAGCAACGAGAGGTAGGTTGCAGTCATGACTGCATCAACTGTTCCTTCAAGCCAGGCGGAGGATGGTTGATGTCATGCTAATTATGGACAAACTGCTTCATCTCTTCGGTGAAGGCAGGTAGATGTTCCTTTTGAACACATCGTGTCATCAACCTCACGCCTTGCTTCGGCTTGGACGGCTGCAGGTAGATGCAGGAAGGGATGAAGTTGTGGTCATCATTCAACGGAACGACATGGATCGGCTCCCCCCACCCATAGTTCACTTCTGAGAACCCCACCCTGCTCCAATCCGACACCACCAGCGTCCCGTACTCCAATGGCATCTCGTACGGGTCGTCGTCCGTGTACCCCATCATCCAGTCCAAGAACATGGCGGGCATCCTCGTCTTGGCGGCTCGTATCAGCTCGATCACCTCCACCGGCGAGGAACCAGAGATGGTCTTGGCGTTCGCCTTGATTCCCATGGGATACACGCAGTTGCCGTAGAAACCTTCCTGCGGCAGCAGCCCCCGCAGCAGGTGGCGGGTGTTGGCGGCGCAGCCGAGGTGCATGTCGGCGTGAGGGTCCAGGCTTATCGCCCGCGTCCGGCATTGCCAAAGCATCGCCGTGACCACGTCGAAGGTGGAGCACTTCTGGCCCGTCTCCCTGCAGAATTGATTCTTCAACGCGTTGATCTGGTCGGAGGAGATGTCGAACACGGAGGTCTCGAAGTGGATGCCAGGGGGGGAGGGTGCATGTCGTCGCGATAGGTTCGGCGGACTAGGGATGGCTTCCCTGCACCAGACTGGCTTAACGAGGGGACAAGCGTGGCCTCTTGCGAGCTCAGCGACTGCTTTCGTGAACTGGGCGACCCCGATGCCGTCGAACATTGTGTGATTGAATCTGATGCCCACTGCGAACCCACCGCATCTGAACTCCGTCACCTGAACAAGTAATGCAACACATGGCAGTCAAATAAGTCTCGCGTTCAAGCGACAAAATTTAGGTGGCACGCTCTGCATGATCTCCCAAACCGGGACGTCATGCTGACAGCTCTGTATGGTTGTCTGCCGCGTGTTCTTGAATCGGAGATGAAGTCGGATGAGACTCAATAATAATAATAATAATAAATTACACATCAAC